AATTTTAGGAATAACAAATAACATATGGCAAATATACGGCTGCCTAAACTAGGTTGCAAATATTATATTCTGCTTCAAGTTATCTAGAAGTTGGGTCAGTTGGGATGCTTAAGTGAAAATATCGCAACACTAGAAAACAGATGATGATAATATTAGTGAAAGCGTGTTTAGGATTGCAAATATTTATTAGATCTTGAGCCTTTAAGGCGCTTTACAATAATTACATTAAAAATTGATAAATGAAATATTTCAGAAATCAGTTTGGCTAATAATATCCTGATGATGTGCTGTTGTTTTCCACATAATTTATCTCTTAGGTCACTTCAATATCGGTTTAAAAGTTGAATGATCTCGTAGTTTTGCGGAAAATGTTTATGTTGCTGACAATAGTGAGAAAAAATAGTTTATTCCTAATTGAAAGGTTTAAAGTTAATCCCCGATTATTTGCAATGTTTAAAATTAACAGTATACCAATGATCGAAAATTATTTTGCTATTGGCAAAAATCTATTCGGCTTGTGCATGAAAGGACTCAGTGCATTTAGTAAAGAGTATTTGTTTAGAGGTATAGAACTTTAAATTTAAATCAAGCTCATAGAATTCATGTAAAGGTCATGGTACTGACATTATTGAAAAGATAATTGTATGCCATTATAGCTTAATCTTTACTTCTATAAACATCCTTACAACATAAACCGCTGACAATATTCCTGGATTTTGTCTTATGACTTTAGAACGGCCGTTATGCTTCTTGGCAAATTTTTGATCACAATACTTGTGGTACAACAAACAGTGTGGTACAAACGATGTCTTTATTATTTGAATTAGAACCATATTTTAAAGTAGATTGTCCCGAATTCCATATTTTATCACAAAACTGGACAGTAATTAGAATAATACAGCATTAAAATGATTATTATAAAGTCGATGAAGACAAAATATTTGTTGAGTTTAACCAGAATAAAATGACGCATTTTTGCTAAATATATTCAATGCCTATGTCTACCTTTTTACAAATTATTCATGCTTCTTATAATAAAATATTAATAATTAAATATTAATTTTACATATTTACTACTTTTTTGGTTGGGGTCTCGTTGATGTTTGATCTTAAGTGAAGCAGTAATTTTGCTGGAAAAAAACAGTGGATAATGCAATCCCTAATTAAACGTTATGCCCGGTACTTGCTGTGCTCGATACGGAAAGTCGATTTTTACCGCCCAGCATGGTTTATTCATGTTTAGTGCCTCGACTTAAACGGGAAAAATAAGAGCAAAAGTACTTTTTCAAGTTTAACAGCCGCACGTAATATACGTATATTCACAGAGTTTTATGGGTTCCGGTTGGCTTTGGAGGGCCGACTTTATGTGGCCGTTCCCAAGTATTTCAGCATATTTAGTTCGAGTCCGCTTTAATACATGAAAAACCGACGGTATTTCGACAAACATATTGCACCCTTTGTGATTATGTTCCTTTCTAAATATCATTTGAACATAAAAATGCGAATGCTTGGATAAAGCATGAAACGGAGGGATTTACTAGTGTCACTCATTTCTATCTTCTGTGAGTGGATGTATGACACGACGTTCTTAGACAGTTAATGGGCAAAGTTAGGAAAGCTTTCAGCATTTCTAAAAATAGAATAATCTCCGATTTTAACACATATGGCATGATAAAATTATTCTAACAGATAAGGGAACACACACAGCTTTTTAGAAATAGTATAAGAATAATTCAGTGACTGTTGAGAAAAGTGTGTTATCCAAATTCCACCGACCTTTAAACCTTTTTATACCCTGGTTCTTTGACATTTATAGATCAAATTATGGAAGAATTTACTTAAATCAATTACGAGCACAGACATCAAATAGCGCATCAAATATTAAAAAATCGTCAAATCCGTCATAACAGTATATGCATGTTAAATCAGTTTAATAAGCCTTAGACTTAGCAAAGCAGTTTACGAATATATAACAAACTAACTATTCTTGCAAATGACTGTGACTGAGTTAAGATAGACAGACTTAAAAACTTTTTCTGCAAGACGACTAAATTAAACCGCATAACTAATTAAAATCAAATCCCGAAAATACTGCGGGCATGTTTTAAGGGTAATAAGGGGTCTCCTTTAGAAATTACAGAAACCACATATACATTGAGTATCTCTTCTATGTTTGAAAATCAAATACCAAATATAAACTTTAACACTTTTGAACTTTTGATCTAACTGAACTTCGCCTCAAACGTAATAATATCATCAAAGTAATTATCTGTTACTACATGAATGGTCCAATAAATATATCGATTATACTCTGGAAGTACAGAAATAATTTTAAATGTAAGATAGTAATAATTATTGCAAGATAAACTCAATAATAGCAAATGTAACATGTAAAGAGTTAAGTTAAAGATTATAATCCACAAATTAAAGTGTGGAACCTAAGGCAATTAAGCCCCGAGAATTATGCAACATTTTCAGTGTATGAAAATGATTTATCAAAAGTGACAAAGGTACAAAAATGCATTTTAGCCTTAACGTTCTCACGTAATATTCATAAATTCCAGATATCATATTGCAACCGACCCGTTTACCCCAGCTTTGCGCTTTTATGATTATTTCCGAAGGCATTATTTTAGTTTCGTATGTTTTAATAGAACAGTGGAAATAGTATCGCAATTTAAACTTTCATTGAGACAAGTTTAGATGAGAGTAGTTCCAAACTAACAAACAAAAACAAATATTGATTGCAGATGATCAAACCCAATTAGCAGGAAAGTTTCAAATTGCCGTCATTCTTCTAGAAAAGTTCATGAAGGAAATATTGTTTGGGAATAGACCAAAACAACTTTAGCAGCAATGTCTCTAACTCAAAAGTTAAATATTTTTAATCAAATAATTATGAAGCCAGAAAGATAACTTTTGACATATTTTTGATGATATTTTTTTTTAAGTGTCCTTTTATTCGTAAATTATTTTAACTTTTCCCATAACACTTAATACCAAATTTGCCATTTTTAGCACTTCTATGCAAAAGCTGCTTTTATGGGTAAATAATGTAACTTCAAAAAGTACAAATGAGGGTTGGCATAATAATCAAGATTAAAAAATGTATAACAACTATAATAAGAAACAAATTTATCACCTAAAATTATTTTTATGGCGGATAGACTCGAGAACAGAATGAAACGTAAAAAGTCAAAAAAGGCAATTAATGAAGGTAATGTCCATTAGTGTGAAAAATGATTGTAAATAAAATTTGACCTGAAACTAAAATTAAAACTTTTTTATTTCATTTAGATGGGTATTTTAACAAAAATTGCAGCAAAAGAGCCATAAAAATAGCATATAAACATGAACCAAGCAGCAGTTGATGCAACTATTACAATTAAAATCAAAAAGATTTTAAATTTAGAACAATTGAAAATAAAATCAGTTTATTAGACGATTAAGGAAAACAAAAAATAATAAATGTGAACTCGAAAGGGGCAGAGCCACAAGTTACACTTTCATGTAACCATTTATGCTCCAAATACGCATTATTTCAGTATTTTATTAGTTATTAAAGCATGAATTTAACTGATTATCTAGAGAGTGCTCTTGTAATCAAAACCACTATTAATCTTGTCCTATGTTATTCATGTCTAAAATATTGATTTAGTGTTGCAATTTATGTCTGAGCATGAAGGAATTTTCAATTTGCGCTTATATTCCGTTTAGAATTGTAAAATTTTCACTAAATGTGTATTTCGTAAAGTCATCAAAGTGAATTCACTTGCTAATTGTTTCAGTTTCATTTATACATTATTTTTTCGGTTTTCATATTTTTCAATTATTCTGATTTATTTTCCTGATTGCGTGTATTTGTTATGATATTCTTATCTTTCCTGGGTCTCAGTTAAAGTGTGAAGTAAAAATTTTCAAACATCGTTTATTTCATTACGTTTCGACGAGACAACAGCGACATCATCAGATTTAAAATGTACACAAACTACAAACACCAATTCACAATTAAAACATGTTGTATAAAAACTGTAATTTACAAAGTGTTAAAAGATTCATCAGTTTTTGAGGGAAAAAAAATATTTCTTTTGGGAGAGCAAAACACCGGTAAAACTTGCCTCATGATTGGTAAAAATCAACGTTCTTTTAGGTTTTTGCCTTCTTGAAACCTTAAATTTGTCTGAACTATTTTCCACATTTGCGAGAGTGTCATGCATGTATTGAGATAAGCAGAAATAGTTTTAATTTTTCACCAGTATACGGGGTGTTTCATACTTATGGCTTTATTAGGGTTTGGTAAATGTTTCTAAGGTTGCCAGTATCTGATCTGAAATTTACTGCTCTTGTATGTTTAAAAATTTTGAAACATCGTTTATTTCATTACGTTACGATTTTTCAATGTCTTTTACATCCTCAAACTTATCAAGTCGCTATTGAGCGCACTACAACTGATCTTAATGATTATAAAACTTTGAGAATGAAACTTTTCGGAAGATTAAAATATACCGAAGTGACGGAAAAAAAATATAAACATGCAAGAAAATAAGAGAGTATCTCGAGAAGACAGATTAAAACAATAAGTTTAGTGGTTACTTTTCTCAACCTGACCTGATTGGGAACGCAGACAAACACGGAACAAGTAGCAAAACAAACTGTAACTATTTAAGACCACACGTACACCTTGAAGTGGAATAGTTTCCCATAGCATTCCACAATTTTTCCGATTTTACCTCGAGTAAAATTAAAATAATCTCACAGAGTTCTGAGACAATCAAGGAAAGAGAAGTGAGAAAAGAATGTAATATATAGTCATCTGAATATATCGAAATAAAGGCCATAATTGGTGCAGGGAAAAACACTGCAAGAAGAGTGGCAAACAAAATATCGATGCTTTCATACGTATTTTTATAGCTTGCGTTTGTCCGAATTTTCACACTTGTGTCCTTCTCAACGCAACATTTTTCCCTGATATATTTTTATTTATAAATTTGAGTACTCACGTGAACAATTGGAAGTTTCGTCACTAGCATCATCGCAATCCGGAACTCCGTTGCAAAATTTATGAATTCCAACACAACGACCACTCAGGCACTGAAATTCGCTGATCTTACATGATGGCAAAAAGGAGCATGTCGTAGCAAGAATGGTAGTGGCGGTTATGATCCTCAAGATCCTGCAAATAAATTATTCATTATATATTATAATTCAAGAAAAATTTAACAAATAAATTATATTGACTATAACGTTTACCACCATTAAATGTTTTATTTATTGGATTGCATGATTTGACAAACGCAAATTCGAAATGATCGTATTGGCAAAGGTTTGAAAAGACTCTGATTTTTCTCCACCTTCTATTCTAAGTATATCTCAAAGAAGACGATAGTTTTTTAATCGAAATTCAATTTTGCGATTTGCACCAAGCCGTATTTCACATGTGCCACCCACCCAACTGCATTTTGATGATAAATTTTCCTTCCAATGGAAAATACAAGACCTATTTGTCAAAATGTGATTTACAGGTTCTATCTTCGGAGGTCGTGTAATCGATAAGCATTTAATTGACAATACCATATCGAGGACGTGAATTAAATAAATAATAATCCCGTATTTAGTGTTACTTTTTCGCCTCACTGTTCAATCATATTTTTTCAATCTAATTTAGTTCTGAAACTAATTTAGCAACTCTTTAATAATAATTAATTATGATATTTAATGTAATTTTTTAATGATATTGCTGTTCATATACCAACAGCAAATTGAAATTGCAAATTTGAATAGGTACTCAAAAATACATTGTTTCGTATTTTTGGAAAAATTTAAATGAAATATTGCGACGATAAAACCGGCAAGATGGTCGTTAAACCCCCTTGAGACTTTTTATGCAAATGTCGAAGATAAATGTGTAAAAACACAAAGAAAGAGATAATTATTCAACAATGGGATGTACAGGAGAGTGGCAGATTTTTTATGTAGAACGCGTTTTATTTATTTTACTGGAATGGAGTGGTTTTGAAAAGGAAATTATTTTGTATTCAATATTTCATCTCGTTTGAGAGAGATTGAATTTTCGTCGCCATTGTGCGTTTGATATTGGGGGAAATAACTGAATAATGAAAACGAAATAAAGCCCTAAATAATAAGCCTTGCATTGAGAGCTCTAATTCACGACCAGTTTTTCATGGGTCAGTGTAAATTGGATTTCAGCCAAAATGATTTATTTGTAATACTAAATACACAATTATTGCATTGTTTACTATTAACTAGGTCATGTGAGAAAAATTTACATTAACATTTCTGAAATTAATTGTCGCTAATTCCCTGAATTCAGAATGTTCAATGAGTTTTCAAAATAAAATTTAGACAGCTATTAGGGCTAAATGTATAATAAAGTAAATAATTCCAGCTAGGAAATTTTTCAAATGTACAATTAAATATTAGTTTTATATAGAAAGATTTAGGAAGCATTCACAGTTCCATTAAAGTTTTGCAGATGTGGTGATGCACAAAGGGCAAAGTAGATGGTTAAATGGAAACCGTAAATGTTGAAAATAAAGGAAATTAACCGAGAAAGTGGTGGTTTAAACACCGCTTTGTCCTTCAGTACAAATTTCATAGATACAACCAGAGCGGAAGAGGACAAATATATTTTACTCATTAGAAACAGTTTGACATAAATATTGTTTAACTGCATAAAAATATTATCGTATGCTACTTTAAAAATACTAACATTCCACAAAATGCAAGTTAAGGCTTTCTTGCATTATTGATCGGTTTTAAAAAAATTTATCAAGCAAGGAGAAGCAATGAAAAAAATTCACATTTGTAACGAATATTTAAATATTGCTCAAATAGTAAGTGAAATAGCTGAAACTTTGTGTTATAAATCTTAGCTGAATAACAATAACTAAAATGAAATATGTTAATATCTGTAATATTTTGTCATCATAAATCATAATAGTATTGCAATATTCACCTTTCAAGCAAATGGAAACGTTATGACAGCAAAAATGATAAAAATGCCGAAAGGAAAGCTCGGGAATCATTTAAATCTCCCAAGAAATATTTATGCAAATGTAAAGACATAAATTGGAGAATATATAAAGGACCCAATCATCATTCAAAAGGAATGTGTAAAAAGATAAAGAAGGATCTTATGGAAACCTTTTTTTCCATATTCTATTTAATATTTCGGTGGGATTTTCGGTTATGCCGAGAAAATTACTTTTTATTCAGAATATCGCCTGTTTTTCTGGAAGGGATTTGCCGGATTTTTATCCTATATTGTGTAAGCAAGAAATTCGTCCATCCGTGTCAATTCATCGAGGATCAGCCGAAAATGTGGTAGGTGTTTACGACAACAGAACTGTAAACTTCTCCCGAGAGCGAAATTGAGTTGAAATTGATTTATAATCCATTTAATACAAACACCTAATAAGGAAGCAACAGGCAGCATATTTTCAAAGTCTAAATCGATGGATAATTAATGTGCAAAAGGTGAGAAGCGCAACAAGGCAGAAAACCAGTTTTCCTCTTCAATTCTTCTTAAAATATTTCCGACGCGATATTTCCAAGAGGGCGTTATTCGTTTGATTTATTATTGAAAATATTGTGTATTCAGCCGCAGAAAACACAGATACAACTTGTTTTTATTACAAAACCCCACATCGGTGTGTATTTTTTAATAAAAAAAAACCGGCCTCAGGTTTTGTTACGAATGATTTATGCCGGTTCGAGCTGTGAATCACAAATTGGATAAAGAGATAAAATAGATTCAGACTGGGTTTGTCTGTTGATAATATATTTATTTGATTTGTTGTTGGCTAACGCTTATTCATTCGTTCAATCAGGAACAAGTGAAAGCTGAAAACGATATTTTAGAAATTGATTGATGGCAGTTTAGCGGAATTTAAATGTTAATGTGACCGTTGCACTTTTCACGTCTTGAGTTTGGAAATGTAGGTTTAAAATCCAAATGTATTAGCAGCTACAGATTGGGTGAAATTTACCATAGTTTTCATTAGCTTGTAGTGCTACTTATAATCCAGTTCTTCCACTAAGCCTTTTTAAGTTGAAGTTAGTCACTGGAAAAAATTAAAAACCATCATAAAATAATCTTAGATATTCTTGCCGTGCGTAATTGGTCCAAATTATGTTGCTTCTGTTTAGTTTCTATATTGTAATTTAATTTAATGTAATTCAAATATCTAATTTAAAAAATTACACTTATTATCAATTTGTAATAAAAGAGGTGAGAAAGTTCAGTTTTTGCGAAAACCATATATTTGAGTATTGAGTATGTACCTTTCTCAAACAGATAGAGTTAACTTTTCAACACTATTTTAGTTTGGATAAATGGCATTTATTTACTATTTTTCCAATAAGCCGGATTTTGGAGTGGCCAATTTCAGTCAAACTTCTGGCGAGTAGTTGGGATACTTACATAATTATTGTATATTTAAAACTGGCGTTTAACAACAATTTTCAACGAACGATCGCTCAGTTGATCGAGTTGCCAGTCTTCCGTGAAAATCGACTTCCCCTAAATAAATATCACATATTTTATCTGACTTTGAAATCAGCAAACTGCTATTTGATGTTCTCTCGGTTTAAGTTTGTTTTATTTTTATATATTAATTCTTTATAGTTTTCATATACTGTCTGTAAATCAATCTAGTGGAATTCGAGAAAATATTTCATGTTAGAGACTACCGCAAATACCATTCTTTTTCGCAGATTCCTGCGTAGAAGTCCTCGGTTTTCTTATCAAATTGTTCTAATCATTGTTGCTTCCTGAACCGATTTAAACTCACTTGCATTTAAAGTCTTGTAAAGACCATTATCGTATTGCAAAAGTCATTCAATACAGTTTTGAGAATGTATCAGATTAATTCCATACATCAAATAATTATAATTTTTTTACTCGATAACTGGAGCAGCATAGTTCTTTGTACAAGGAGAAGAGAATGTACTGTAGAGTTAACAGCAAAAACTCATTAGGAAAATTAACAAGATTGAGAGAAGATGGAAGCGATCATGCGAACAATTGTTAGCAACAATCAGGTAAGAAAAGGAAAAATTAAATAATGAATCGAACCCAAAAAGACTTAGAGAAAGACCAATTGAAATTTCCTCCGGTGCCTGATTACAGATTGTTGCCTGCTAAAAAATAGATTTAAAAAAATAACATTATTTATACAGAACTTCAATAGCTTTTTACCTGGTCACGCTTTTTCCTGGCGTGACTTGTTTGCATTGAAACAAATCAAATGTAGAAATTGGTTCTAGCCAAATTATGTTACTTACTAATTGCTAAAGACGAAAAATAATAAATAATTTGAAAACCATTTCCAATGTCAAAAATCCTGAAAAGTATTTCACTTACTGCATACAAATCATTTGAGAAATTGACAAGAATTGTAAAGATCAAGAAACCTTTTTATCTACAGCATCACACTGGGGAATTCACGCAAGTAATCCCAAGAGAAAACGAAGCACAGAAGAAGCCTTGGGAATATTAATACTTCGGAAGCAGATCTACTTCTTATATTAAATATAAAAAATATCAGCGAAAACTGGATTATATTTCACGATATTTTCCAGTTGATATTCAAAAAGCAAAACTACATAAAAATCAACCTCATATGCACCAGTAATGATAAAACACCTTGCTTATTGTGCTGAGTGCAGCGGAAACACTGATTTTATAAAGTTGGCCTTTCCATAAAGCAATAAAGTAGGTTGCTCTTTTCAAGTTAATATCTCCAAGTTTGAGCAAAAGCACTTTAATCAAGTTCTACTTGCAGGTAATACCCGTCCTCTCGCTTTCTCATTAACAACGTTCCGAAAATTCGATAACTGTTTTGTACCCGAATTTCCTTTGTGTTAAGCGTATCGCAGCAAGAACACAAACAATTTGCATAGTATCGATTACGCCTAAATGTGTTTCTGGATAGTTACAAGTCTACGAAATTCATTCCAGTTAAACCCATCGATGTAAACTGTCAGGGCCAGATAAATTAATATCGAATAAAAAGTAGAAATCGATTTCAAATTAGCCCGATTTCCGATATGCCGCAAGATTACCTGAACATTGATCAATGCCTTGATATAATCATTAAATGTTACTTACATCATTTGTTGTGGGCAGCGAGGAAACATGTAATGCTATTG